TTCTGGTACACCTATATTTCTAAACACTATTTTTGACTGTCTGTAGGCAAAATATTAAACTCTTGCGCTATTTTGCCCAAATCACTTTAGAAGACGTTTATTGCTATATTATTACTGTATTTTTTTTCGTCAAATTTAAATGGGACTAATACTGAGGCACCCTCTTTTCAACAAAAGAAGAATCATCAAAATCTGTTCACAAATCGCCGGAGTAATCGCGTAACACATAAAAAAAATAGTCGAATTGAGAACCTCCTCCTTTTTTGAAGTCGTTAACCTAGTTTAATATTACCTTGTTTGTTTTTTATTTTAGCAAAGCAACACTAGTCATCGGTTGTTAGTTAACGGAGCATTGAAATTAATGGACTTTGTACAATAATATCAAAGTGTTGTTACAATTGTACAGATAAAATACAGAATTCAAACAGAGATGTTAACAAAAATAACCTGTATTAGGATTATTGCTCAATCATCACGTGACTAAAGGTCAGACATTTTGGTGGCCTTTATTACAATTATGTGGAAAATTGAGATCAATGTCGAAATAAAAAAAATACTGTTCTTATATATAATTTTAAACTTTCGCGTTGCGTTATACTAACATTTCAAAATGGGAATAAACGCGATTAAGCAATATAATATATACTTTAACACCTACCGATTATATCGACATTTCGGCCAGGTTGCACTGACAAAGGTTACGGGCTGGCTATCTCAACATTTGTTTAAACACACATGCTTACTTCTTACAATTTCTGCACACTTAGATGACAAACATCCGTGGAATTGGGTCTTTTGCTCTTTCAACATGTTTTTGTTTTAAATGATGAATGTTAACAAATTCATCTTTCTTAAGAGAAACTGCCTTCGGAATGATTTTAAATCGATTCGTTGATTTCAAGTTTCATTTGAGCATACATTGAATTTTGTTTTGTTTTGTTTTGTTTTTAAATTACTAGAAGAGTGAGATTAAAGTGAAGATGGATGGACGAATATAAAATAAAAGTTATGAAAAATATTTCGTTTCAGGCCGCGTAACAACCTTAATCAAGTAATTCAGCGTCGTTCCAGCAAGCCATCATCATTTTTTAAGATTTTTCACTGTGAAATAGCGGAAAAAACTCATCTAATGCATACGATAAGCAAAAGAACGGCAAAGTTTTTGACTATTTCATTAAAAAAGTATTGTTGGATGAATCCTTTTCTTATTTCCTTGAGATTATGAACCTTCGCTTGGTATTAAGTTGTTTGTAAACTTCATGCTATTCCATTTTAAGTAAAGACTTTCTAACAATAACCAAGATTTTTAATAGAGGGTGGCTTGTTCAAGAAAACCTTCGATAAAAACGTTTTCCGATATCATTAAGTTTAAACTCTCTGGAAATTTAAATTTAAAATATTCTCCTAGTTTTAATATTTATGTACTGATAATGCATATAAACAACTGCTTAGCATACAATAGTTTTACGTAAAAAGTACTTCTATTTTGCTTGCAATAGCTTTAGTAATATTAAAACTAGGTGTTACAAGAAAGTTGTTACACTAAACTTAGGCGTTACAAACATCTTTTTTTTCCCTAGGAATCTGCGCGGGCGAAGGAGCGATCAAAAGCAATTATTTATATTTTTCATTCGTGTTTTAGTAGTAAAAATACATTTAAAAATTTAACGCGGACAAAGTAGCGGGCAGAAACTAGTTTTTTATATTAGCATGCCTTGGTTCCAATTTACTTGTAAAATGAAATTTGTTCGAACTGCCCGAAGTTATGAATTGTGTTGTAATGTTAATTATTTTGTTATTTTTACTTGCGTAACTTTTTCAATTTTGTAATATTCAATTATAATATATTCAAAGCAGTACCAAAAACCCTATTTTACTAAATAAATTTATATTCTCCGCTGTCGGAGCAGTTATTCATGTTGTAATTACAAGGTACCCATTTAGAAATTAGCTAACTTTGTCTAACTTTGATGTTAACTGTACAATTTTACAATAAATTTTTTTGGTGGAAGACTCAGATATAGGTAAATCTGTTTTTAAATAGCTCTGGTTTCTAAATTTAAAACTTTGGCGTTATTAATTTTATTTGCCTTGATTAGATTTGCACATTGTTTGAAATAAAACTGTTAAAATTCGTGTAATTTTGAATACTAGTTCTAACGTGGCACCGATGCGTTCAGCCGACTCAAGGCATTACCGACGTTTATGGAGCGGATACAACTCTGACGCACTATGCGTTTTTCGTTTGCCCAATTCTGCAATGGAAATTTTAACCCGACAAACTTAGTTCGTGGATAAGACCTCAAGGTGAATAATGATATGTTGCGAGCTGTTGTTGATGTCCATCCACCGAAAACTACCGAAGTTTTAACTATATCCACAATACAATACAATTTTCATCAAGCTATGAGCACAGGGGTACTATACCACAAATTTTCTAGGATGATCCCTGTGATACTTCACAAAATTCTACATAATTATAACCTTGTAACGACGTCTACTAATTTCCGTATTTTGTAAATTATTTTTATAAGTTTCGCTTTTAAGTGAATAAATTTTGTTTAAGCAAATACTTAAAATTAAATTAAAAAAAAAAGAATTTCTTTCAAAAATTAATTCATCTTTACAACAACGTACGAAGGTTACTTCATTAGACTGCATTTGTTAGAGATTAGGTATATCGATAAAAAGTTTTTGATCATTTAATGAATCAATATACAGTGCGTACACGAGTTTAATCTATTATTTTGTTTTTCGCGGTCAATATAATCACGTAACCGCACTACAAGTTACCGCATTAGTCTGTTGAGGACAATCTTTTTGAATCTTTTCAGCGTGGCTAAACAACAACAGTCAAATCAAACAAAACAAACTAAAAGTCAATAAATAAAAACAACAAAAACAAATAACTTTAACAGCAGGGAACAATGAAAAATACGTGGCACATACAAGGTATCGCACTCGTAATAAATTAAATTGACACATATGTGTACATGTCAAGATGAAAGTCAAAAGTATTCTTGAACAATTTCATAGATTTTAGGACGCTATAATTGGTTGTATAAGTAATTATTATTTTTTGCCTATCCCTGGCGATGGCTATTGAATCATAAACGAAAACTGCATTTAATGTAAATTTTACATTTAATTTGTTTCTTCTACTCCATAGAAATATCGTACCGGATATCAAAAATAAAATAAATATTATTTATACACAATTCATGGGAATTAATTCTTTTAAAAACTCAAATGTTTTTAAAACCGTAATATTATATAAGGCTGTATAATAGAAAGAACCTTTGTTTCAAAAATCAATTAACCGCTCACGCGATGCGCTACTTCTACCGCAAAATGGCGGCTATTTGGTTTCGCAAATTAGAAAAGGATTCAGTTTAAATACAAGTTTTTTTAAATAAAAATTATTATTCTGCATTGCTAAATAAATACCATCCGTACTACTTATAAAAACATCTCAAATAAAATGCAGTAATACACCGCAAATCCTGCACTTAAAAAGCACTAATGAAATTTTTGGTGTACTTGGATAAATATGATAATATTTCGTTTGAGTGGTTCTAACGTTTACCATGAAATTACTCCTTAAAGTATAGTTTATAAACATTTATATTCAGGGTAAAGTTAAAAAAACGCTACTAACGGTATGTTTTCGATAAATAAGCACCGAAATCACCAGCCTAAACAATAACACACACCCATCTAATTTTCCCATTTAATTTTGAAGAAAATCATCCACCTCTATGGGTAGCTGTTCATGCATGAAGACTCATTTTTGTAAATAGCGCCTAAATTTTATTATAAGGAGCAATTATTTTAATGGTTGATTTTGCTATTCTCCAATTCAAGGCGTTTTTCTCTCTCAATACATGTAGTTAGTAGCAGTGAGAACTGCTTTTTATTATCTCCTCTTTTAAGTCTCGTACATGGTCCTAGACCGAAGCCGGATTTTGTCTACCTGGGTTCAAGGACATATAAGCTTCAAATCAAGAAAATAAGTGAACTTAACTGCTAGTCGTCAAGGTCGTGGATGTAGGCTGGTGAAGGTGTACATAGCCCTTGGCAAATAACATCTATTTGCAAGTTTTTCCGTTCCATGAATTTTCGGTTTTTTTAGTACTTTATAAAATAGGGTGGTTTGCATTAATATTACACATAACTGGTTGATGACTGTACCACCTCAGTGAACCGTGACAATGGGGCCCGTAAAGGGACGGAAACGTCGGTTTGTTTGAAAAAACAAATATACGTGTTGTCGGAACTACGGCCGGTAAGCCGCGTTGAAATTTACACTGATTTAGTGAATTGACACTGACAAGAAAGAGTTTTAGACCAAATCATTAAATGATAAAAAAATTCATTCTTTACAATAATTACAAATGATTCACATCATGATGGAGTCCTGACGACAAGCCCAAACAGTGTCCAAAAAATTTTTCAGAAAATTGTTAGTAATTGTTTGGTAGACCTGTCTAAATGATTTTCATCAACTAAGCGTGAAAATATAAACTACTGTAAATGGTCAAGTTTGTTTAATTTTGGTGTCCAGATTTCCGACACGTACAACGATTAATGGCTATCATAATAACGAGTTTACTAATGACGCCCGTTTAAATGATAATGTAGTGCGTCAGTAACATGTATTTTAAACTCAGTGGTTTTTGAAATTTGCTGATACCCGTATTTAAACGTATTTAATGTATCAACTCAGTGGCTATTGAAATTTGTTCATATCCTATTTACATGTAATATTAAGTTTATTGAATATCATGATATTCTACTACCGTGATATTCAATTATTTTTAGTATTTGTAGATTGTTATAATTACTCGAGTCTACGAGAGCCTTCAGCATACCGTGTCTGAACGTATGCTGAAGGCGCTAGTTAGAATCCTGCCAGATCGAAGGAATTTTTCTTAGTGTTCGATATTTGTATTAATACCCGTATTTCCTTATTTACTCTACACACACGTATTTACTTTTAGGCGGCGGGGGCGCGCAATTGGGAGAGACGGACAACTGCGACTCTAGCGAGCTGAACGTGTGTGTGGAACAAATCCCCCGTACCCCCATCGGCCTGCCCAAAACCAAGGAGGAGCTAGACGCGCATTGCACGTAAGTACCATGCATAGTACAGTCAACCTCAAAAAAAATCAGAATGATTAATCTATGTCAATAATATCTCAAACCAATATTTTTTTTATTGTTTGTGTTATCGCTTAGATAATTTTAACGCTAACACTCTATTTTACACTTTTTTTTGTTTAAAAAATTAAAGTGTACATTTGACCTCCATCTCACCTGATGAAAAGCGACGATGAGGCATGGACACCTAAATAATGCCTATTTACTCTCGCCTTGATAATAATTAATACTATAAATGTACAAATACGTTGTGAAATAACAGAAAAATGTACCTTCACGCGTCATAGTCGATATACATTATTCATATATCCCTGCGTGTCCAATACAACAATGGTTTTAGGATACTGTTGTTATTGTCACGCTTTAACAGTGCACCAGATATGTTCGCGGAGAACGATAATGACACTTTATTGCGATAGCACGCAAGAGAACTGCTACCTTGAGACGTTGCGTGGTTGACAGTTCTAACCACAGACATATATCTGGATAGACGCCGCAAGTACAGCAATTTGTATGAAAACCAAGCATGCCACATTTTTTATACCCCCTATGACGTCACAAAAACTACGGAGAATCCGTTAGCGTTAATGCACTTTTTCATAAGAATGAACCAATTTTGGAAACATTTATGCCACTCCTCCGTGACAATCTTTGAAACATATTTTTCATACTCTTCGACAGCCTCTTCCGGTGATGAAAATCATTGACCGCGTAACTGGTTCTTAATTTTTGGAAATAAATAAAAGTCACAAGATATCAGGTCGGGACTGTACGCGGGATGGCTCATAAGGTCAACGTTGTTCACCTTCAAAAATTCATTTGTCTGTCTGGCCGTATGAGAACTGGCATTGTCGTGGTGCAAGATGATACGGTGTTTATGGTTATATATGTGTATATGTTTCGTCTCCTGTTACTACATCCCACACCAAATTTGACGCCCCTTCGTTGAATCTGGTGAGCATGGCATTGCACCAAGTGACGCGATCCGCTTTTTGAGCCTCTAACATATGGTGCTTCATCGCCAAAAGCAGTTTCAAGCCGAGCAAAGCTCCGCTGAGCTGTTAAATTACACTTAAAGTCGTAGAAAATCATACTACGAAAATTTTTACGAGTTAAAATCATGGTGATGAAGACAACCCATTTCTAAAATGACGCCACAATGTAAAAACAAGTGACAGTCAGGTGAAAAAGCCAAAGAATTCCATTTTCAAATATTGTAATTACTTTTTTAACATTGTTTATGCAAGTGTCCAGTTCCGAAAAGTTATAGTGTGCCCCATGTATTTATATAGTAGAGCAACGAAGACGAAGCTTTATGCCTATAAAATAAATAATGGACTGAAGACTTGGCGTGTGTAAAATTATGAAGAAAAATTTACCAAGACTTGTCTGTATGCCTTTTATGCCTTATATTATATGTCTTATATATTATATATCTTGTACATTATATTATATTATATTATATTATATTATATTATATTATATTATAT